ACATGCCCTCCTAAAGCTTTGCGATCGCCCCGTTTCACTGTCAGCAATTCTCAGCGGAAACAGTGCCAACTCTGTTCTAGAAGCCTCAAAACTGCAGTACATCATTTTGTTAAGATTACGCCCACTTCGTGAACATTACAGATTATTCTGGAACCTACGTCGCCTCTAGCGCTACTGCTGGAATATTCAATGCCAAATGTATAAATGCCGACATGCTTCGGCGCTTGTCAGTTGATTGCCGGCCAACGCTTTGTTCGCCGCTATCAGTGCACGCGTGTTGCTGTTATGTGATCTTTTCTATTTTCTGGCCACATGTTCGGCACAATAAACCGTTTCATCTGAACATCAAATCTGCTTCCTTCGTCCACATCTCGACCTCGTGACATCTTGTAGAGGTGCTGCCTCTTTCATGTATCGGGCGCCCCTCATGCCGTGAACCCTGCCCAAGCCAGAAAAGAGACATCGACGCCAATCCCGAGCAACGAACAAGCCGCGGGAAACCGGGTTTACTGCCATCATACAAACCTCTGCCAGTAAACACCCGGCAAACTACGACTCCGACCTCAGACACGGCGACAATGATCGCTCCTGTGCCACTTGCACCGATTTTGCTCCGGCAACCCAAAGAGCCATCAAGGTTCTGTGGTACATCCCTCCAAGACCCGAAATCTTGGCTTGAGATATACGACCGTGTCGCTGTAACAACTGGAGCACCAAAGACAAGCTGCGACATGCATATTTTTACTTTAAAAAATCTGAAAAAAACCTGGTTCGAAAACCGAGAGTCTTCACTCTAAACCTGAGAAGATTTCCGCAGCACAGTCGTGCACACCTTCATGAGTGTCATCCGCAAGGAGAAGGCTGCTTCCTTGCTGGAAACCCTAGTGCAACTCCCAAATCTAAAAGTCACCATCTTCACGGAAGAGATGACTCAACTATTCCGCCTTGCCGACGCTGATATGGCCGAACACAAAAAAGTTTGGCTGCTCATGCGGGGTGTCAAACAAGAACTCTTCGCAGGACTTCTCGGCAACCCCCCCAAGATGGTCACTGAGTTCCTTGCCGAAGGCCCCGCTGCAGTGGTCTAGTGGTTAATTTGCTCGGCTGCTGACCCACAGGTCGCGGGATCGAATCGCGGCTGCGGCGGCTGCATTTCCGATGGAGGCGAAAATGTTGTAGGCCCATGTGCTCAGATTTGGTTGCACGTTAAAGAACCCCAGGTGGTCGAAATTCCGAAGCCTTCTGCTACGCCGTCTCTCATAATCATATGGTAGTTTTGGGACATTAAACCCCTCATATAAATCAAATCGTCGCCGAAGCTACAACTATAGAAAATACTCTTGAGATGCGTACAAGGTACTATGACCGCCGCTCACCAACAATAGACTACGCCAACGTTCAATGCCCATAGTGCCGATGACTTGTGCGACACCATTCGCCTGGTCGTGAGTGGAGAGCTGTGCAAGATGTTTCTGTAATCGCAGTCTCAAGTGGACTCGATCGCTGACATTGTTTGTGAAGAAGTCCAGCAAGCTTTGGGAATTCCCGAACCAGTGCAGTTTCATGCAGAGGCTATGAACTACACTGCTGCAGTGCATCGTAGTGCTCCCCCACCACACCCACATCGAAACGCCGCACCGCCACAGCTCTACCGCCAGACCCCGCCGCCACCACCACCATTGCCATACCACCCGCCTTCAGGCCGGCGCAACGCACCGAGGAAGACAGACGTGTGGCGTGCTCCCGATCACCGCCCACTCTGCTACCACTACAGGGAAGCTGGCCACACCTACCGCCACTGCCAGTACCGACAGATGGGACTGCGCAGCTTTGGCGTCAATGCACCACGACCGTGGCCAGGGGAATGGCCACTTGACCTAGAAAGAGCGCACCACAATGAACACCACGAAGTGCTTTCCGTTCATCGTCGCCCAGCCGCTGCATGTCACCGCACTACCGGCAGTACTGCAGCTCAACCCGGGGCCAGTCTCCTAGCCCGTATCCGGGAAATTAAGGGCAGCAACCGATGGAGGTGTAGTTGCTGTGGTACGATCTACCGAAGATCCTCCGACGACGGTGATGCCGCAAAGGAACTTCGACGCGAACCATGCAAAGCCCTGACGACGAAACCTCACTTACCGAAGATGGCCTGACGACGCAACGTGGAAGCAGCGAAACAAGCCGGCGTAGCCGTCACCCGACGCCACGACCAAACTGTTACCTGAGATGACAAACTAGTGACCTCGAAGTTTTTATCGACAAACACAGTGTGACAGCTCTCGTCGACACCGGAGCCTACTACTATGTCATCAGTGGAGCGTACGCCACGAGATTGAAGAAAGTCAAGCATGCTCGGGAAGGCCCCGAAATACAAACAGCTGGAGGCCACCCAGTAACGTCGAAGAGAATTTGTACAGCAAAAGTATGCATTAACAACCACATTTACTCTGCAAGCTTCGTTGTACTACAGCGGAGCTCGAGAGGTGTGATTGTTGGTGTGGACTTCTTAAGCATTTATGGCGCAATCATCCATCTCAGTTCCAAGTCAGTAACGCTATCACGAAAACAAGCCCTGCACACGCCGGCCGAAAAGCAGGCCTTGAATGTACTGGAAGAACAAATCATCATTCCCCCTCACTCCAGCATCAACATTTCGGGTGGCTCTCTGAAATCATCATACCTGCAAGGCGTTGTTGAAAGCAACCAGCAGCTGTTAATCAACCGCGATATTTGCGTCGCAAGAGGAATAGCCGAGCTGAGAGGAGGGAAAGCAACAGTGACGCTCACTAACTTCAGCATACTGATACTCACTAGTGATGCTCACTAACTTCAGCAGCGTAGTGATGCTCACTAACTTCAGCATGCTCACTAACCCGCAATACCAGCATGCGAGCAAAGGCTCGACGGTTGCCTATTTAGAAGAAATTGTGGAAGCCAGCAACGCTATCGCCCTCGCGGAGTCTACTGAACCTGCTTCAACGAATCGAGGTCTTTAAGAGAATTTTGACCTCAATCCAATACTTCCGAAGCATAAGCAAGGACAGACGAAAACCCTGCTCCGGTAATACGAGGACTTCTTTTCGTCGTCGTTGAAAATTTGGCAGATCAGAGTCCATACAGAGTTTCGATGCGAGAGTGGGAAGGAATAAGGAAGCAATTTGACGAAATGCTAAGCGATGACATCGTTCAACCTTCCAAGAGTCCGGGCATCACCTAAGGTGTTAGTGAAGAAGGACGGCATGCTACATTTCTGCGACTATTATCACTGCCTAAACAAATCATGCAGAAGGATGTGAATCTTTTCCCCCAAAATAGACGACACTTGCGACCGACTCCACAACGAGATGTTTTTTTTTTGTCAGCGGACCTCTAAACAGGCTCTTGGCAAATTGAAGTTGACGAGAGAGACCAAGAGAAAACCGTACGTATAACACCAGACGGCCTCTTCGAGTTTAAAGTAATGCCTTTTGGTCTTTGCTTGGCTCCCACAACTTTCCAACGTGTTATGGATACTGTACTCTTAAAGTGACAGACTTGATTTGTGTACTTGAACGACATCGTTGTGTACTTGAACGACATCGTTGTAATCCCCTCAAACTTCTGCTATTCCAAAGTGTTTCAAGATAAATTTTTTTCCTCCAAAGTGCTTCAAAAGAAAATGTGGCTGCTCCAAAGTACTCCGAAAGAGAGAATTTTGCTTCTGCACTGTGCTTCAAAATAAAAAAAATTCTGCTCGAAAGGTGTTACAAAATAGGAAAATTTGCTGCTTCAAATGTTCTCCAAAATGGAAATTGTCTGCTCCAAAGTGCTCTAAAATGGAAAGTTTGGCTGGTCCACAAATTGCTCCAAATCAGGAGACTTAGTAGCACCACGGGGCCCATCACTGGGGCACTCCAGGTGTTACATTTATGGCAGAGGAGTTGGTTGACCTATAACAAATTAACATAGAACGTGGTGACAACAAGCTGGATATCCACTGAACTAGAAGATAGATACAGCGGTAACATCTTTTTTATGCTTGCCAATAAACTATGTACTACTACTGTGGTGTCGGGAGAGAATTAGCGAGAAATAGACAAGAAAAGGACTAACAAATGAACTGTGAAGCACACCAACAAATTCACTGATTGCCGTGAAAGTGTAGTATATAAGATTTCTTTCAGCTGCAGCTGCTACCTCATAGCCTCAGTGTTAACGAGAGATTATTGGAACATAAAGGATCGCTTCCTGGAAGCTCACCTTTAAAAGGCACCCTGGAACACTTTTTAAGCATGGTCAGAAAACACTGTTGATAGGCAGTTAAGGCTCGCAAGAGCACGCAAGCCAAAGTTAGCACAGTACATGGCCTGGAGCTTATAAATAAAATCGCCAACTGTTCTCTTGACAGATCATGCTACATGCTAAAAAATCATGCGTCACAGGCCCACGTATTATACTATTGGCTCAATTGACCATGGCGCGCTTGAAGAGTATTGTGGCCACCGCAAGAGCCCGCTACGTGTTGTTGCTCAAGCACGCAATTGCACTGAAAAGCTGCACGTTCGAAGGCAAAGAAAAAGTGTTGAAGGTCTTGAAGTACACGTGACATACCTTTTTCTCTCGTTCCATCCCTTTCCAGCGCTTTCGCCGCAACGAGAAGAAAAAGAAAGCAATTACAGCATTGGATATATATTTGTCGAATGCTGGGCGCGAGAATCATATGAGGGCAAGGATTGCACAAGTGGTATATTTACATTGTCAAGTAGATTTTGATTATGATCCGCGTTAACTGCAGTGGCAGTTTAGGCCTAAAGTCTGTGATACTCTTGTTTAAAAAGTTGTCATACCCGAGCAGAATGTTTCCTCAGTGTTAATTAGCATCGACTGCTTTGGATTCTACTCACTTACCTCATTCGGGTGCTCGAGCTTGTGAAAAATGTCAGATGATCTTGTTTCAGCCATGCAGCTGCATCATAATGCATCATTTCTCGTCCGCTGAGTGCAAAGTTGTTGTCTTGCAGGTGCTGTTCTGCCGCCTGACGGATCACCAGAGGGAGCTCTATCAACAGTATCTCGACTCAGCAGATGTTGCCAGCATTCTGGTGGGAAGGCTTCAGGTGCGTGCTTTCTCTTTAGGCCGGTAAAATGCATCACTCAAGTGCAAAGTGCAGCACAAAAAGGGTCTAATTTTTCTACAGAATGGTGGGTGCTGTTCTTTTGGATCTAGGAGCACGTGAAATACTCAAATTGGAGAAAACATCTTATGGGTAATGTTTGTGCCCTCTGAAGCGCTTGTATATACATTCTCCATTCTTGCTGTCCTTGTGTAAGATCACGTTTGTCAATATCCGTCACATCACGCCAGCTAGTGTGGGAACTTGAAAGCGGCATCGTCATTCACATCTTTCTTGCATCTTTTACCAAGCATCTTCCCAGAGCAAGCCAGGGAATTATGGAACAGTAATTTACGAGAAAAGTTGTTTTTCCTTTTAGTCCCTAGGTGGTGAAAATTTTTGGGGCCTTCCACTACAGTGTCTCCTGTTGCCACATCATGGACTTGGAATCTAAAGCCTTGCAAATTATTATTTGCCCTCACTCACATGTGTTGGTGATCCCACTGTCTGATGGAACGCTTACAAAGTGCTACCTCATTTTACACTTCTGGTATTTGCACCACCAGTACAAGTGCTATTATGTTTGCTACATGCATAACAACACCCAAATTTCAGTTTTCAGGCAAAAGCTAATGTTGCGATATAAAGAGCACAAATCTTTTCCTAAAGAAGCGTATGTGTGCGTGGCTCTGCACTTTGAGATCGAGCGGAGTCGCTACCTTGTGACCACTGGCTGAAGCGTGCCTAGTGTAAATTGCTCCTTGAGCTAGCATGTGCGCGTACATCATGCTCATCCTCAAAGGGTAGCTCGTCCCGCTCTGATAGCGCAAGTTTAACTGCTTGTGTGTTTGCCTAGCATAATCTAGAGACATATTTGGCCTTGGTCGGCTGTATATGCACTGCTATTTGATCGATTCGGGCACTTGCCGAGAGTGCTATGCATCATTGTCGTACCCTTCGTTTGCCTGGATCATGTCAGTTTAGGTGCCTTCCTGTAGTCGAAGCACACCGTAAAGTGCACTTGGCGTCGTCTCAAACAAGAGGAATATTAAATATTGTGTTAATGTAGTGTTTTAGCAGCTTCAGTGGTCAACAAAGTTTTGTATTGTCGTTAGGTGTCTAACTACAGCACTGTTACTTATTGAGCGAGCTTTAATTGTGCTTGAGTAACCTTTTATTGTATGGTCGGGGTCCCAGAACACCTCTTATCCGCCGATGCATGTACAGCACCAATGAAGTGAATGAATCGACCGCCGAAATGGCGTGATGATGTTGCCGCCTTGCAGATCAAGCCTCAGTGCATGCCTCTACTGTATATGGTCACTCCAGGGAGCATCACTTTTCGCTCAGGCTTTTCACGTTGAGAGCAGCACATGCATAGAAAAGAGAGCAGTCGCTGATGCCTGCTGAAGTATCGTGTGCGTCGGTGATTGCGACCTTAAAGGAGCACTGATATCAAATTTCAGAATTGAAATTGATGTATTCTAGTCTATTTTATGCTGGTCTGGGGAACAACTACGACTACTAACTATCAGAAACTACAAGTACTTAAAAAAAGAGAGCTTTATGGTGCATTCATGGTTACTGCGACAGTCCCCAGGATCTTCCCACTTTACCATTGTTTCGTCACTATGCTTTGCTTTAAGTGAATCAAGTCTATTTTTTTCGTCTGTTGCAGCATATTAAAGTCAATCATTTATATACCCAAAGCAATATTTGACTAATAATACATACCATTTTCGGACACAAAGCCTGCGGGTCCCTAAGACACGTATTATGGCAAACAAAAATTAATTTATCAGGTAACTGTGGCTTAGAACAAAATGTCTACAAATGTTAATTTTGATGTTTAAATCAAAATATTTAAAAAAACAAAGAAATATTTACTCGACTCTGGTCTCTGTTAGGTATAACATTTTCACTGCCATATGCTCAAGAACAGTTTATTTTGTTGTACTTGCAAGTGTGGCTGATTTATCTATTTATTATGTCATGTATGTAGTTATATTGTTTCGTTAACTGTCGCCAGACTGTACAATGAAGCCGAGGCCTTTGCCAGGCACCCCAGTCTTTTAGCCCCGACTTCCTCCTTTGTATGAAAGGAAATAAACTTTACTTCACTTCACTTCAGATGTGCCCTCCATTCGATTGCTTTGTGTGTGTAGGTCCTCTTGACCGAATTTGGATTGCATCCATCACGTGAAAGTTATTTATTTCGACCGCAAACAGCTTACGAGAACTTAATAGAAAATGCAGTGCCCCTGGGATATCGACAGTAGTGCTAAGTGTTTCGTGTGATACATTTCACACATACCATCCTGAGTAACGATGCACTAATAGCGATGACATCCTATATCCAAATGTTTCTATTGTGGTGCCTACTGGCACTGAAGTAGCCAAATGTCACTTGTCATATCTGATCTTCATCACACCGCCTTGAATGATTTCAGAAAATTCCCAAGATGCAAACCACTCTAAAAGATCAGCGAAAGAGAAGAGCATGATTTATTTATTTATTTATTTATTTATTATTTATTTATTTATTTATTTATTTATTTATTTAATAAAGGTACATTCAAGGCCCGAAGGCACTACAGAAAGGAATGGTCTAAACAAGTGTAAGTGCAGTTTAGAAAAAAAATGAAAAGTGAGAAAGCAACAGAAAGCATAGAAAAAATTTACAGGGCATCATGTACGGCGAGCTTGAAGTCCTTTAGGTCCATTATACAGGCGATGGAGGCGGGAAAGTGGTTTCAGGTGGTGATTGTTCTTGGTACAAATGAATCCTCATACTGTCTCGTGCGACAGGAAGGTAAGCCCACCTTAAAGCGATGGTCGGTCCTTGGTGATATGCATCGAGGTGGATGATAGAGGGTATCCTTCAAATGGCTGATATAATGATAGATCTTGTGAAAAAGGTTTAGGTGAGGCAATTTGCGGAGCAATGAGAGATCAGGCAAGTTTAGGGTGCTCTTCAAGGATGTGACACTGGAATGATGTGAATAATTTGATAAGATGAAATGTGCAGCACGATTCTGAGTGGCTTCGAGAGAGTGAATGATAATGACATGAGTTGGGCCCCATAAGACGCATGCATACTCTAACTTGGATCTGACCAATGTTTTATACAATGATAACTTGAGTGACGATTGAGCAGAGGAAAAGCTACGGTGCAGATAACCAAGCATGTGGTTAGCGTTGTTAATCACATATTCCATGTGTTTATTCTAGGAAAGATTAGAAGATATGTGAACACCAAGGTATTTATAAGTGTCCACAGATGGTAATGGAATGTTATTGAGGGAATAAGTACACAGACAGTGGGTGGTAGTGCGATGTAAACTTTGCTTACTACTACATTTCAATATTTTAAATGTCATGAACTATGTGTTACACCATGTGAATATGCTATCAAGGTCATGTTGAAAGTTAAGATGATCCACACGACTGGTTATTTTCTGGTAGAGGACACAGTCGTCTGTGAAGAGTTGGACAGGAAAGGAAGAAACATGAGAAGGAAGATCATCACTGTAAATTAAGAAGAGCAACGGGCCTAATTGAAAAATGAAATCGCTGCACAAACTTGAAGGAAAACAAGGGAGACAGGAAAGAGCGCAGACTACCAACTGTTTATTGTCGTTTCTTGAAGCCAATATATACGCATGCTACGCTGCGCTTCCACAATGCGCACAAAACCAAAGATGCCGCTAACAAAGCCGACCCAAAACAAATCAAATCAAAATTGACTGCCACCACAATGACAAAAGTGAAAAATGGCAAAATACAAAAGTGATACCCACCACAATCTAAACTGCGTATTCCCAAGGTGTGCGCTCATCTTTTTTTAAATTTATCTTTTATTATTTATTGCACCAAGCATCAACAAAGGCGTGAAAAAATTAAAACGTACTCTAGAGACTTTTGTTTAAGAAACACTAAAAGTCGGGCTTAGCACCGAATAAAACAATAAAATAACAATTTTATATTCACTCCAAGCAGCCCCAATTGAGCAACCCGAAGAAGCAGTACGCCGAAAGAGTCAAAAACCATAATAACATAAAACTTTACAAAACATTACGTAACATCACATGGGAAATAAAACAAGAACACTCCCTCCCCCTTGTTTTCCTTCAAGTTTGTGCAGCAATTCAATTTTTCAAGTATGAACCAACTAGTCTGCAAAAAAGTACTGCTTCAACGGGCCTAAAATGGACCCTTGCGATACACCAGATGTTACTGCGGAATTAGGTGAACAAAAATGATTAGCTGTTATGTACTGGCTGGAGTTTGAGACGAATTCCTTAATTCATGTAAGTAGATTGGGGTCGATGTTCAGCTGAGCAAGTTTGAAAATGAGTAGTTCATGGGAAACGGAGTCAAATGCTTTCGCGAAATCTAAGCATATGCAGTCAGTATCAAATTAGAGATCTGTGTTAATAAACATGTCGTTAGTAAAACACAGTTACTGTGTTTTGCATGAAACTGTTTTTCGTAAGCCATGCTGATAATTGCTAGAAAAGGAGTTAGATTCAAGAAATTCAATAAGGTTCACACCTTATTGAATTTGACATGCTCTAAGATTTTTACTGGAATAGATATTAAGGATATGGGCTGCTAGTTACAGTCAAACCTCAATATATCGAACATGGGTATATCGAATTATTGCCTGTATCGAACGGTTCCAATATCACGTGGGAAATCGCATGCATTATTGATTTTTTATTTCGAACAAAGTTTGACATATAATGGATATATCGAACTCAGCCACCCCAAACCGCCCGCGCTCCATTGACAGGCGGCGAGCTTTCCCGCAACTCTCCAAAGTAGCGGTAGAGTGGCGGGCGTTTACGAATGCTGCACACATCGATGGCGCCGAGAGCGCCACTTTAACCTAGCGGCGTACGCGCGCCGCAGCCTTGCGGTAGACGGTAGAGGTTCTTGAACGAGGAAAGTGAAAAGAAAAGCGCGGAGCTGTTATTGTCTTTCAATACGAAGGCACCGAC